TGGTGGAAATAGCTAATAAATGCAAGTTAGTAAAATAAAAAAATTGCGGGGGGGGGGATTTTTTTTTGCCACAGAGGCATGCAAAGTCTCTAGGGTTGCCACCCATCCCGGATTCACCTGGACAGTCCAGTGTTCTACCAACATAGTCTGATGAAGGGGACCCTGCGCAGCCCAGAAAGCGCTTGTCGTTTGAATGGCTACTATTAATCAAATGGATTTGCAGTAACATGGGATCTTGGTGCTGGTGTGCTAGTGACATCTGTATTGTTGTTGAGCAGCGCCATCCGCAATCCTTACGAGCACCCGTTACTTTTGGTATATCTGGTAAGAAGTGCAGCAAGGTATATGGGTACTGCTTTGTACACTTGCATCTTATCTACAGAATGCATGTCATTTATTTACAAAATATATGCATAGTGTATACTTAACAAAAACAAAAAAAATCAAGCATAAGAAATAAAGAAGCTAACAAAAAAATAGTCACAAATAAAAAGAAATGTAAAATAGCACAACATTTTTTTTTTAAGTCCTCGCCCCCCCACATACACACGCAAGCACGCGTCGGGTGCGCCAACGTGCAAAAAGGACGATTCCGCCTATTGTGCCGCACATGTTATATATCGCCGCGAACGTCGGAGTGCGAGCAATACATTTAGGGCCATTAATTACTGATAACAGTAAACTGATGAGCGGTAAAAGCTTTTAAAGCGTCGCCTATGGCCAATTTTGGTGTTGTGGTCGTTTTTGGCGATATCGCGGGTTTTGATGGACTAATGTCTTTATTCAACCTCAAATACTATGTAACGCCATGTTGAAGACCTTGACAACCGCGGGCGCCGAAATAATATTCGCATTAAAGGTTTACCGGAGGCAACGGGGTCTGAGGACCTGCCGGCAGTACTACAGATGCTTTTCAATAATATTCTGGGGGCTCCGGCTACGAACAAAATAGAAATTGATCGTGCTCACAGGGCCCTCCGACCGAGAGGTTCTGCTGCCAATCCTCGGGATGTGATCTGTAGAATTCACTATTTTTCAGTAAAGGAGGAGATCCTGCAAAAGGCCCGGAACATGAGATCCCTGGAGCTAGATGGCGCCCCAATACAGATATACCCGGACCTTTCCTGGGTCACACTGCCGATGTCTCCAACCTCTGCTGACCTTACTGAGGGATAATGACATTCCGTATCGTTGGGGGTTCCCCTTTAGCCTCAACGCACAAAGAGATGGGAAAAGCGCCATACTTAGAGTGCCAGAAGACCTGCCAGCTTTTTGTTCGGATCTCTGCATTAATTGCCCTATCCTTGCTGGATGGGACCCTTTGCCAAAATTAGGTCCGGAACCCTCTACCTGGCAGGGCGTCACACCCAGGAAGAAGTCGGTGAGGATGGAATCACCTGGTGACGCCTCAGCTCGCAAGCAGAGGGGCTTGGGGTTCTTCACAGTAAGATCAGTTAGGGTCTGGAACTCACTGCCACAGGCGGTGATTTCAGCAAATAATGTGGAATTTTTCAAGAAACTTTTGGACGATTTCTTAAGGGACCGTAATATACAGGGGTACGGGTACTCCTAGAATGAGATCCTAATAGGTTGGACTTGATGGACTAATGTCTTTATTCAACCTCAAATACTATGTAACGCCATGTTGAAGACCTTGACAACCGCGGGCGCCGAAATAATATTCGCATTAAAGGTTTACCGGAGGCAACGGGGTCTGAGGACCTGCCGGCAGTACTACAGATGCTTTTCAATAATATTCTGGGGGCTCCGGCTACGAACAAAATAGAAATTGATCGTGCTCACAGGGCCCTCCGACCGAGAGGTTCTGCTGCCAATCCTCGGGATGTGATCTGTAGAATTCACTATTTTTCAGTAAAGGAGGAGATCCTGCAAAAGGCCCGGAACATGAGATCCCTGGAGCTAGATGGCGCCCCAATACAGATATACCCGGACCTTTCCTGGGTCACACTGCCGATGTCTCCAACCTCTGCTGACCTTACTGAGGGATAATGACATTCCGTATCGTTGGGGGTTCCCCTTTAGCCTCAACGCACAAAGAGATGGGAAAAGCGCCATACTTAGAGTGCCAGAAGACCTGCCAGCTTTTTGTTCGGATCTCTGCATTAATTGCCCTATCCTTGCTGGATGGGACCCTTTGCCAAAATTAGGTCCGGAACCCTCTACCTGGCAGGGCGTCACACCCAGGAAGAAGTCGGTGAGGATGGAATCACCTGGTGACGCCTCAGCTCGCAAGCAGAGGGGCTCTATTGGATCCACTCCTAGACGACATCGCTGACTGACTGCTTACTTTTTGCATACCTGAGGGACCTACTTACTTACTTACTTACTTACTTACTGCTTTTACACCCTGTTGATGGTTCATGCTGTTATTGGAACAGGGAGGTACAGTGCCTTACAATCACTCCTTTACTTGTGGGGGGCTTGCTGGCACTTTGCCGCCCCGTGGCTGCTAATCCACTTTATTTTTGATATACTAACATGGTAGCGGGCAGATGGAGCGGTATATGATCTTACCCCATCTCCCTTTCCTACTTTATAATATTCACCGTTGAATATTGCCAAATTACTCCAACTCCCTACCACCTCTCTCCTCTCCCTACGCTTATAACCAACTCTCTCCCCATCCCCCTCCCACCCTCGTGTGGGGGTGCTCAATACCAGTGGGTGATTCGGTTATTTGATCTCCAAAAGAGTCAGTGGAATACTTTTGCTGTTTATCTGACTGTGTGTGGAGACGCACTTTACCCCGTAGCACAGGGCTTGGCTTTTCGATTACTGATATACTAACACTGGTTAGATGCCCTTGTGCGTACAATGTTTATTTTTTCTTATCTGTTTGTAATTGTTGTTACTTTTAGTTATGTTTTTCAGCCTTGCCTCGCTTCGCCTTGGATGTCGACTTTGATACGGTCGACTCTCCTTCTCCCGGGGTCCACTGCGGTTTTCCGGATGTCTCCCCTCCGTGACTCAGGTCTGCTTACGTCTCTCTTTATTGTAGGGGGTGCAGGAGTGGTGACATATCCGTTACAATGGTTTCCTATTTTAGGGAACGGTACATGCTCAGGTGTCATTTCCTTTAATCTCCACCATGGCGACGATCCCTGCATGTAAATTGCTCTCTTTAAATGTTAAGGGCCTGAATTCTCAAGCTAAGAGGAACCTGTTATTTAGAGAATTGAAATCCGCAAATGCTGACATAGTGTTCCTACAGGAAACGCACTTCTGCCCACTTAACTCTTTTAAATTCCTAACCTCTCAATATCCTAGAGCTTACGCTGCCTCATTGCCCTCCATTGGAAACGCCAAGCCCCCCCATCTGAGGTGGATTTTTACCAACGCATCAAAGAGGTGCAGGAGATGGAACTTCTAACGGCCAGATTGAATAATACTATACATATTTATAAGAAGGTATGGGCAGCCTGGGATTATATGGAAACTCAGATACTGAACCCAGGAGGGGCAGCCCGGGGTAGTCCTGTGTCCCGTGGGTTGGGGCGAGATGACAGCGACATGGTTATGGGGACACCTTGAGCCAAACTGAAATTCGGAAAATGGTTCCGTGGGGGGAGAGGGGATTGCTAAAGGCGAGGCAAGGCTGAGGCAGTGTGGTAGTTTGTTAACCAGTTGCGAAGTGCATCTAGGCGCTTCTTTAGTTTTATGTTGGGTACAGGACACCGGGGCTGGGTCCTGGAAGGATGCTATATTTCCCCTCTGTTTGGACTGTGGTCCCTTTAAAGGATGAGACGGGGTTAACTCACCTGCTGGAGGAAGTGTGTGTTTAAAAGACATGAAGTGGTAGCTAGCAGGTGAGGAGTAGTGTGGAGGAGGTTGGAGAGTGGGGATCTGTGTACTGCTGTGAGCTTGAATGTCATTAATCTTGCTTGAAATCTGTAGACTGGGAAAGTTACCCTGGAAGTCTGGGACTGTTTAAACTGCGATTGCAGCTCTGAAATCTTCATGTCGGTGAGACTGTTCTTTTGTGTTGTACTGAAGAGTTGCTGTTTGAGTTGGCCAGCTGGTCAGTGAAGATGACCTGTGTTGTTATGTTGCTGCTGTGAAGCTATTTCAGTTAATAAACTTTACTTTATTTGCAAAGCCTGTGTCCTGCGATCCTGCTGGATTCCCCTAACATTACAGTTGGTATGGGTTTATGCTTGAGTATACTTATGTCTGCAATAGGCAATGGGTTTATACATGTTTTTACGTGCAGGACATGTTTTCACTTGAAGTTTAATTACAAAGATAGGCTTGATTTTAGCTCTGCACAATTTGGACAGCATAACTGTTTAGAGGAAGGGAACACATAGTGGCTTATCTCACGGGATATATCTGTTGCGACTCATGCTCAAGAAATGAACCTCATTATGCACACTTACTAACGGTCTTATTGGCCCGTAATAATGTTTAACTGCTCTTATCAACTGTAAATGCAAATGTGGGTGCTGCTAGGTGGGATAGCCCTGATCCATCTGTATACACCCTCTCTGTGAATTTCTTATTACTGTCCACCTGATGCAATTTGCTATATATACTGTAAACCTTACCTTGTTTGTATGAAAATATTAAAATAAAATAAAAAAGTTATTCGAAAAAAAAAAAAAATACCACCAAAAAAAATCTCTATCTGTCCCCCAAAAATGGTATAAAATTAATTTCAGTACAGCGTTGCAAGGCGGAATAAACGTCAGTCAAAGTACCGCAGCGCTCAATACTGAAATAAGGGCCTGGCCTGGAAGGGGGTTTAACACCCTGGTCTTCAAGTGGTTAAACCATTGCTGCAACCATTGATTCAGTGTACTGTTCTACAAAGAAACTCCTAGGATTCTGCGACTCAGTAACTGATCTGGAGACTCATGATTCTTGAAGTCACAGGGTTATTCACAAGAGGGTGAAGAGTTTGGAGAAGGCAGGAGGAGTGAACAATCTAGGACAGAATAGCTGATTTGGAAAAGTTCTCCAGTTCAGCTCACTTTCCAGATCGGCTATGTTGTCCTAGATTGTTCTCTTCTCCTGCCTTCTCCAAACTCTTCCCCTTTTGTGATTAGCCTCCTCATTCAGTGTACTATTGAGTGCTTGGTTCTCGGTTCTTATTGGTTGCAGGGAGGGGCTGGCAGGAGCCGACTTCTCTCACTCTAGGATAATATTACAAGTGCTGCTCTCCTATATATTCCATACGGAGCTGTTTGTTTCAAACGAGTCAGTTCATTCAGATGAATCGACTCAAAAGAACAATTCGTTCATGAACTGTACATCACTAAAGCCAATCATCACTGCATAGATCAGCAATCGCACCAACTCAGAATGGAGCTGTTCACTCTGTTCCTGGTATTCTTGGTATCTGGCATCCTGTGTCTGTACACATGGAAACAAATGTACAAGAAAAGCAACTTACCTCCCGGACCTACTCCGCTGCCTTTTTTTGGGAATCTTCTTCAACTTAAAGCAGGTTATCTGATGGACTCCTTCAAGGAGGTAAGTGAAATCAGCAAATGATCTGTTACCATCACAACTCTTTTCTGTAACAGGCAGTATATATCAATGAGATATGTGCACAACAAAAATTTTTATTTCCAGACGAAACAAATGAAAATGAAAAACGTTTTCATTCCTTTCGTCAAAGGAAACACATTTTTCTATTTCGGATTCGGAGGCAACGAGCCTCCAAATCCGAAACCGCACACTGAAACCGCAGAACAAGCGGCGGCCATATCGTCCCCCAGCGCCTTCTGCGCATGCATGCCGCCATTTTGGACTAGATCTTGGTGTGTACCAAGATCTAGTCCAAAATGTCGGCGGACATGAGCGGTGGCTGATTTGGCTACCGCTCGTTCATCGTGTGACGTCATCGTCATGTGACATTATACGCTCCGCCTCCAAGATGACGGCGGGCATGCGCAGAACACGCCGGCGGCCAATATGGCAGCCGGCGTGTTCTGAAAAACAATTTATGTATGCCCGAATATCGGTTTAGTATATTCGGGCAAATATTAAAATCGTTATTTCAGATTCGGATGAACCGCCATATCAACTGATTTTCGTTGATTTGCAGGTTCGTCCGAATGCACATGTCTAATATTATTATCTCCATATTTTTACTAAATTTTTGGGTTTGATAATATGTTGCCCTAATGTCGTGCAACATACAAATTTGTAACTGCCGCTATTTTATTCTATAGGGTCTTGGCTTTCAGAAAATATATAATGTTTTGGGTGCTTTTAAGTAATTTTCAGGACTAAAATGTGGATTATAACATGGGTGCAAAAAAATAATAAAAGGCCTTGGTCCTTAAGGGGTTAGAGAAAACCTAGTATTTTCATTAATTAATATTATTTATTCCTGAAGTTCAGCTTTAAAAGTACTTCCATGGCACCCGTCACTGCAGCACCACAGCAGACTTTATGTAGTGCATGTGAAACCGTCCTTACCATGAAATGGCCAGTTGGTTATATTTGCCTTACAGGCCAAAAGTTCCCAGTCCTAGTTTCACTATAGAATATTCCATTACATTGCTTCTCGGCCTTTTGGCTAAGATCAAGTGTAGTATCTGTTCTTATCAGTTGTCGGGAATTGAAAGTCTGCTGTCGCCTAGGAAGGGTGGATGGACGGACCAGTAGGTTCCTGGCGTAATTGGTAGGGAGCCGGATGAGGTTCCAGGCCACGGAGTTTTCGACCCTAGTTAATGGGTGGGCTCCAGGGGAGCGATCTCTGAAGGTGAACTATCTCCTGAATCTTTTTTTGTTCACAGGGGAAGTTTGTTTTGATGCACGTCCACGGGCTTCAATAAAAAGGGGAAAAAAAAAAGAATATTCCATTACTATTGTGTATCACATGTAAAATGTCTTTTATATTTTAGATCAAGGAGAAGTATGGGGACGTGTTTACTGTGTATCTTGGTCCACGGAGGGTGGTTGTTCTGTGTGGATACAATGCAGTAAAAGAAGCCCTAGTGGATCAAAGTGATGTGTTTGGAATGAGAGGTCTAATGCCAACTGTAGAAAAATATTTCCAAGGTCATGGTAAGTAGTTTCGAGGCTACTTCTGGTGTTAGCTGTTCTACTAAGTCACTACTGTTAAAATTGAATGGTTATATCCGTGTGATAATTAAAGAAATAACCTTTTGATCTTGCCAGAAATCTTTGGAGCTGATATATAATATAGTTCAATAACACCCCTTTATATTATGGACAATAGGGGGTGGGGTTTCTTAGTCACATCTTGATTCTGTTGTCCATATTATACAAGGGAGCATTCCCACCGTGGACTGGAAGAGTGTTACAGGCAGGATCACCTGGTGAAAATAAAGGGAAAATGGCTGAAGAAGGAAAACGAATGCAGCCACTAGAACTAAAGACAGGTAAACTGCAATATATAATATTTTTGGTTTGGGGTTTATAAACACTTTAAAAGAGAACTATGGGGTAAGTGTTTTTCCCCATAGTTCTCTTAAGGGTCACGGGAGGACATATACTAGCCTCCTCCCATGACCCAAAGCTCAGTATATCGCGAGCTACAGCTCGCGGTATACTGAGACCGCCGCAGCCGGGACGGATCCCGACATTACTGTCGAGATCCACCCAGCTGCGTGAGTGACAACTAGCTCTGCCTATCTAGAGGCAGAGCCAGTTGTACCCGCCCCCTCCCCCGTCCGTTCCTCCAATCAGCACTGGAGGATTGGAGCTGGGAGGGGGGGAATCCCTGCAGGGAGCCGTGGCTGACAGTCACTGCTCTCTGCAGGGAGATGATCGAGAAGTGAGCGAGCGACGGTATGTGTTTGCTCACTTCCCAATCTATTGAGCCGACCTCTGAGTTATATTGTCACACGTCGGCTCGAACTATGAGGATGAGTGATTTTCACTCACCTCATAGTTCTCCTTGAAGTGCAATATCCCTTGAAGGATATCTCCAGAGAAATGCCGGAACATACAGTCCAAAATAACAGAATGTGCTTACCACTTATTGAAAGGTGACCTAGGTGCATAGGTAAAATTGGGAAATGATCATTGTTATTTTATTTTTCATTTTTGGACAGTAGAAAGGAGTTAGGCCCTCTGTCAGGTTTTGTTTTTTGCTGTTTTTGGCCCCACTAGGTAAACTGACCTCTCTAATTCCAATAGGTAGGTGTGAGACACTCAGCAACTAAATCAGCAAAGTGACTATAAAAGCCAGTTGGCTTCAACTCACCACAAAAACGGGGGCGCCTCCCTACCGAAATGGGGTCACCCAAAATCGAGAAATATACAAGTAGTTTGGTCAAATGGGTGGTCAAAATATTATATATAATATATATATATATATATATTGTTTTTTTACTTTTCTGTAGCCCTGATGAAGGGGATGTTTTTGACCCTCAAAATGCACTGGTTGTATTTATTCTCTGGTTGTCATCAGGCCTAAAATGATCTATGTTATCCAAATAATCCAACATTTTAGAATTGTCACCAGAGCAATATGGCAAGAGGTGAGGAAATATCCTTCAACTAGAACACCTGTTCCTGTGACAACTCCCTAACATGGGATTTCTGAAATGCAGGTAAAGCCGCTCTATTAGACTGTATTCCCATTCTGTATTTAGCTGAAGTTTAGCTCTAGAGAAATTTCAGATGAGGCAGTAGCCAGGAAAGTTTACAACATTGAACAGACAAGTGAGTACAGTACAGTCCATCCAACCCAATTTTGGGTGTGTGCTAAATGGAACACATTGAATTTTATTTGCCAAGAATGTTCTTACAGCTATCCAATAATTATTTCTGCATGATGACATGTTTAATAAGTACAATCATTCCCCCCAGCAATATAGAGTCTATATTTTGAAACCTTAAATTGGTGAGCTCAATCTCTTAATAGGAACCAAACAAATATGTCTTTGTAATTTCTTTTGGCTATCTGCATAAAATTTGGTGTGGCATTTGCAAGGAAACCGGTTGCTATTCTTTACACAACATTGTTTGTGGATAGGGCTACGCGAGCCAAGCGGGAAATCCGCAAACCATGAACACAGCACCCAAACACAACTGAAGTCTATGGGAGCAAAATGTTGTTATTTTTTTTAATGCTTTTTTTTTTAAAGCCAATTTGCAAGCTTTTGGGAAAGAGGGTCATGTGTGATGACATCAGCCAGCTTTCCTATCCAGTTGACATAATTTGCGATGGGAGAAGCAACGGGAGGAGTTAATTGTGGAGCAGGTTGTCGTTTACCCACCCGTCATCACTCATCATGATTCTGGCAGGTTATCCCCACAGACCGCCACATCCACCCAGCCAGAGATGTTGGGCTTAGGGCCCTGTCCCCATCAGCATGGGGACAAGGTGCCTCACCAGGAATAAGGAGTCCTAGCAAGGTACTCTCCCAATGTTGAGGGCATCTGGCTTGGAATGGTTTAGGAGGGGACATATGCTTACTGTCATCCCTTCCCTGCATGCCCAGAAAAGAGTCTTGCATTGATTTTGGGAGACCCAAAGCCATTTTTTTTTGTTTGTTATTTATTTGCCTGGGGTTGTGTCCCCAACCCCTAAACCATATCAGGCCACATGCCCTTAACATTAGGAGGTTACTTTGCCATGATGGGAACAAGGGCCTCATCCCCACCCCATCCCTGGCCCAGTGGATGTGGGGGTCTGTGGAGGGGGTGAGTTATCAGAATTTAGAAAAAGGGGGCCCCAATATATCCACTTAGTCTATGTGAAGGAGTACAGGGTACACAATAGCCCCAATGCAGCTCCATCAGTCATGGTGAACTCATGGCCCTAACAACCAGCAGACACAACAATCTGTGTCATGACCATGCTTTCCTACCAATAATTCAGTCACAAAGACAGTTCGTTGACACAGCACTGGGTAACATCAATTAATTAATTTATATGGTCATGACACTTATTTAGTCAATTACATCACCTAGAACCCCACCGGCTTGTGTGAAACCACTTCTTTCAAAAAGGCCAGAACTGCCCAATCACAGATAGATGAAGCACACTAGTCAAGAGAGCTAGACTTTCATGGTCAAATGAGCTGATGCACAGTACATACAGCCAAATGTGAGTACATCCTGAGATCCAGTGCCATTCCTGACCCAACTTTGTCTATCAAAAGATCCTGCCAGTTTGCCCATTCTTTTTAAGTTTCTTTGGACAAGACCAGTTCCCTGGGTTACATTGTTATGCCTTTGAAACTTATGGAGCATCATTTTATTATTTCTTTTAGGAGTAGTAACCAGCAATGGTGAGTGCTGGAAGCAGCTCCGTCGTTTTTCAGTTCAGACCCTCAGATTGTTTGGCGTGGGGAAAAGAAGCATTGAGGAGCGGGTTCAAGAGGAAGCTAGGTGTCTGGTGGAGGCCCTCAAAGGAACCCATGGTATGTGGATTTTAACGCAGAAACCAGTGGATAAAATCTATTATTATTTGTATTTTTTTATTATCATTAGTATTGATATAGCACTGACAATTTTACTCAGCACTTTGACATCAGTCCCTGTACTCAAGGAGCTTACAATCTAAGGTCCCTATCTCTGCATGGCTCCTGTCTAAATTGGCCCTTGCATGTATGCATGATACATACATGGGCCACTTTAGACAGGAGCCAATTAACCTGCCAGCAAGTCTTTGGAGTGTGAGAGGAAACCCACTCAGGCACAGGGAAAACATGCAAACTCCTTGTAGATAGTGGCCTGGCCGGGATTCAAACTAGAGACCTGCAGTGCTCCAAGGCAGAAGCGCTAACCACTACACCACTGTGCTGCCCGTACATGACAGGCTCTTATTTACAAGATGTGGATAGGTGAACAGGTTGCCCGGTTTATTACTTTAATAGGATGTACTGTATCTCTAGGTACTAAAAAAGTTATATGATGCATAATCAATAAGGGGACTGTAGGCAGGGCCGGATTTACTCTCCCTGCTGCCCCAAGGCCAGGTTCCGCAATGCGCCCCCCTCTGCCGCAAACCCCCCCATCAATGGAGAATGGCAACCAGATGGCAGGGCGGCAGGGTTAGTTTTAATTTTTTTATTGTTTCTTTATTTTTATTTACTTTATCACTTTTTTTATTTTTATTTTTATTTTTTACTATTTTAAATTTTTATTTATCTCATCGTTTACTTTTTTTAAAAAAATGTTTATATTATTATTGTTCGTTTTTTTTATAATCATTTTCTGATTTTTTTTTATTTGTTTCTTATTTTTTACTTTTTAATCACCTTATTTTTTTTTAAATTATTTCTTATAATTTTTTTTCTTTTTCTTTTAATTTTTTTTAATCAATTTTTTTTACCTAACTTTATTGCTATCTCACAGGAGATAACAAGTCCCTGTGTGATAGCAATTGGAGGTGACAGGTTCTCTTTATTGACCCTGTCACGTCCAATACAGGAGTTCTAGCAGAGCACTGTCCTGGAACTCCTGTGACCGGTGAGAGGGGAAGATGGCTCTCCCCTCTCACTGTTTACACGGAGAGGCAGGGTTACTTTTAACCCTGCTACTCTGCTCCCTGCATCGGTGGCCAGTAAGAGGAGAGAGACTTGTGGGCGGGGGAAGACGGAGCCAGCGAGGAGAGAGGTAGGTGCGGGAGGGTGGGGGGAGGACGGACGGACGGACCGGCTGCAGACTTTTTACAAGTGACCTCGGCGACATCGCTGAGATCACTTGTAAAAGTACAATCGGCTTCCTCACACTACATTTAGTCCTGCTTGTGCAAAGCAGGACTAAATGTAGAAAGCGCAACTTACCGCCCGGCGCCCGAAATTTGCCCACAAGGACACCGCTGCCGCCCCGAGGCAGGGCCTTGTGCGGAATCCGGCCCTGACTGTACGCTGATTGATCAGTGAAGTTGAAGATTTGTGTAAAAAAGCTATGTCTAAACTGAAAACTTACATTATGTTTATAAAATTGTAAAAGTTAAATATAGGATTTACTGAGCACCCACAGGTACTAAAAATTATCATATTGAGAAAGACATGCAAGGTACCATTGATACCCTCTCATTCTGAAAAGGCTAGTTGCCTGGATGCCATATTGATCCACTAGCCTAATTACTTTAGGATTCACTGATCTGGTACCAATATACAGATATGAAGTTCAGAAATTTCCGTGCTGCATGCTTGTTCTAGGTCATTGGCTCAGAAAGTAGTGAAGCCAGAGACAGCCAGGTGCCTGCCATTTACAGAAGAGGGTTAGCAATCCAACATGTTTCACTCATAACCATTTGATCATTTTCAGACAGGATATGCCTCGTTTATTACCAGAATCAATCATTCAGGTTAAATTCTTAAAGAGAACCTGTATTTTTGTTTATTCAGGGCAATATACGAATGATCAAATATCAGGAATAATAGGGTAGAGGCACATACTCTTCCACACAGCTCAGTTTGCCTACTGGAGCAACAAGTAAAACCCAGCCGCCTATCTCAGAGTAAGGAGGAGCACCTGACTCTTTCTCTCTCCTGCCTCCCCATTACAGTACACAATGCTTGAGTGGCTGTTGCTCCTTAGCTCTCGTTGCAAAAAGACTGTTGTCCTCCTCCTAACGCCCCCTATCCCCCCCCCCCCCCGTTCATACAGCTCTGCCTGGGGCTTCAGTTTAAAAGGAGACATCTATTGATGTCTTCTCTGTTTTTAGTAAAAACACAGTGCTTGCAGTGCTTGGGAATCCTTTGTCATATATGCTTATTCCAGGGAGGTGTGGGTAGGGGAGGCCGGTGGCTAGATCACCTAGTATTATGCAGGAAAAAGCTCTCAGCTTCAAGTCTGAAGCTTTTCTCCATTCAAAGCGGCTTGTTACAAGTTACACAGCAGGGAAAGCCTACCCACTGTGTAACCTGTCATGGACTGAGTGCTGCCTGTTAATTACAAGTAGCGCTGCATCCAGCTTTTGACAGCTGGTTAGGTTACACAGCAGTGGGCTTCCCCACTGCTTGTGTAATCTAACTTGGTGAGGCAAGAGCTGTCATAGCCTCTACTCTGTGTTAGAGGCGTGATCTCTGTGGATGGCTTGGACCAATAGCAAAGCGCCATTGGTCCAAGCTGTCCAATCAAAAAAACGAAGAAAAAAAAACCAGTGAGGACATCTATCTCAATGCCTCACCAGTGATGAGCAAGTGAGGGGCAGGGAGGCCCCTCCCTGTTTCCTCCCTTCCTCCTCCCCACACAGCTTGGTTACCAAGCTGGTGGTGGGGCTTCAGCGGGCAGAGCTGGGGGATGCCTCACCCAGCACAGAAGGCACGGCACGTCACTGGCTTATTCATAAGACAAAGATTTTATGCTTAGTCAAAGAATAACATGCATAAAACATCAGTTAGAAATGTATAAACATAACAAATAAAGATAAAATGTACCCCAAACCAATAAAGCTACCCTTTACTACCCTCTGCATTCTTCCTGAATGCAGAGATGTTTGACAAATTCAGGTCAAGACTGTTAAACTGACCACACACTATACAGTCTGATTGTACAATCTCCTTTGGATCCACCAACATTGTAATGCAATGGCCTGTCTGATTGCATACGAATAAACAGATTGCTTAGGTAGGTCTTCATATTATTTAGTTTCGGTAAATCTAAAGGTGATTGTATACAAAATGTACTACTGAAATGCAATGTGTTTGGTATGCTATATACTGGCAAGGTGATTGCTTTGGATTCATGGACAAGCACTTATGTTCGCTGTTCTCTCTTTCTTTTCTCTCCAGGTGTGGCCTTCAATCCCACTATATACTTCAGCCAGGTGTCTGCTAATATCATGTGTTCCATAATCTTTGGTGACAGATTCAGTTACGAAGACCCTGAATTCCAAAGCCTGCTTCACATTGTGTATGACATATTTGAGTCCATGTCCTCTTTCTGGGGTCAGGTATTTAATCTAATTTTGTGTATTTATCAGAATCCAAACTACACACTTTGTAGGATTTATAAACAAAATACGCACAAATGACAAATCAGAGTGGAATGCTGCTAGTTCAGAATATACGATCTGTAAGGATAGCATTTAGTGAGCGAAGATGTCTTCAGAAAACATAACACAACAGGTTTTACTACAAATGCCGGAAGAAATACATGCACACTGTGGGTCCATCTCAAAAGGCAGTAGATAAGTACAAAAGAAAAAACATCTTGTAGGTAAACAAACTTACCTTATCTGCGGCTTCCACCCACAGTGCCTTGGCGAGGGTGGCCTCACTGTGTATACAGCAAGATTGCAGTGAATGCTAAGTACCCCAAATCTTATAAGAAAAGCTCCAGCACAGTGTATCTACTCCCAAGGTTTGAACTTCTCAGCATTCACTGGGATCTCGCCAGAAGGATGGTGCTGTCACCATCTGTAATTTGAAAACTGAGGGTAAAGGAACATTTTATTGCCCATGACTTTTTTAACTTTTCTGTAGTGTTTGGACATGGGTAGGCTTCAGTAAGTAAGTGAACCTTGCTTTGTGTGTTACAGTGCAGCGGTCCCCAACCTTTTTTTCACCAGGGACTGGTTCTGTGGAAGAAAATATTTCCACAGACCAGGGGGGAGGGTGAGGATGCTGGGTTGGGTTGCGGATTACGCATGTGCCGGCAAGTGGGTCCATAGCATTCACAGCCAAGGCAAAAATTAACACACAAGCATCTCTGCTCCCCGCACAGGCACTTTTGTGTTAATTTTTGCCTTGGCTGGGAATGTTATGGACCCGCTTCCCTGCACAATTGCAAGTGACATTTCTGGACCTGATCAGAGCCTCTGAGCTTGGGCGTTCAGCCGATGCCCCCTTCGTGCCCTCCGACGCCCCCGGAAGTGACGTGCGGGTCTAGATTTCTAACGAATCTTGGTAGAATCCTGCGGCCCAGTTCCTAACAGGCCACGGACGGATACCGGTCTGCAGCCCGGGGGTTGTGGACCCCTGTTATAGTTCACTACATTGGCAAACATAGTGTTGGTATGGTTTTTTGAGAGCCTATTCAAAATGAATGGTGTGCCTTAATGCAAAACAAGAAAAACACACTAATATGTACACATTAACACACTGCAACAATGTGAATTGGATCTCTGAAAGGACAGTTCAAGGGTGATGTAGCCATGAAGTTGCAGGGTATATGCTCACAACTACTTAAAGATGAAGTGCCTTGTTTGATTATATACAGTATTTTGCTAATTGCTTTTTCCTCATATATATAGCTTTATGATATATATTATGTCATGATGAAATATGTGCCAGGACCCCATCACAAGACAGTCAAATGTATTCTGCAAATGGAGAAGTTTGTGAGAAGGCGAGCAGAACTCTGCAAAGACACCCTGAACACAAGCAGTCCACGTCATCTGATAGACAGTTTCCTTATCCAGATGGAAAAGGTACACTAGCTACATCATTATTTATGTTATTGTTTTAAACCTGACCTCCAGGCAAACAGCTAAAAAATATTAAAGGGTATCCCTATAACTCAAGTTTTTCTACACTGCCAAAGGATTTGTCATTTCACCCAGCCACTTTTGTGTCACACACCTCTGCCAGGCAGTACAACCAAGAGGGTGACCCCACTTTTTGTATTAGAGTAATCAGTGGTGTCAACTCACCTCTAGTGCTTGTGAAGACATATTGATTACAGTATATTTTTCTAGACAGTGCAGCAGAATTAATTTCAGGGTGGAAGTTGGCTGGTTGTTAATTGGCTTGAGCGGTTCCTACTGTCAATCCCTCTCTTCTCAATAAAAATACTTTTGCATATGCCTGTAATAATCAATCCTTAAAGTTCCCTAAGAGAAATTCAAGGGCTGCCATTTGCTGACCTCCTTCTAAAAAAAATCCTGTAATCTGACTGTTATGCTAAATTGCAGGCTTCAATACCTTCTAAGACAATGATTTGGAATAAGTATACATATGGAATGTCAGAACCAATAGGTGCTTTGGGTTAGTTACTCTGTTCTAGAAACCAGTTCAGAATGATAGCTAGGCAACTAGCATTTGCAGAATAAACAGACTGCAATGGCAGACTCGCAGGACAGGTTTTCTTTTGTAGGTCATGTACAAACAGCTACACGCAAGAAATATAATACTGTACCACCAATTGTGATCAGAGTAGCAGCTGTCACAGGGACAGGCAGAAGCCAGGGTACAGCACACCCTACATTATATTGGTAAAGTGTATGCGCTCCTGTTTGTACTTTTTGCATTGCTATTGACAAGTTTCAAAGAGAAATAGTATGGGGCAATTTGTAGTCATCAGTCCAAAGTCAAACTACTGAGAATAAATCAAGGGCCTCACAGAGAAAGTTAAAGTGTACATATACCCTATTCTATTTTAGTTTGGTATAGAATAAAGAAAGGTTGGAAGCTTTTTTCTGTACTGTACTCTACTTCAAACACGTCTGCCTTTGTTCATCTCCATTGAATGGTGGATTAATGGCCAATAAAATATTTTCTGTATTTGCAAAAAAATCTTCTTAGCCTGAAAAATAAGTGTTTTCAGCCACCACATCTAAGGACTGCCAAGCTATAATATATTACATTTTGGTTTTGGAATTTAGATAAACTTGAAACTGTGAAAAAGCAGAATAATGTCTACCTCTATGGAATGCATCATGCTGGAAAATCTGCACGGACGGCCATTCAGTATATTATTAGTTTGCAGTGTCATGATATTACTTTTACTTATATATTTTTATTAAGCTCAATTTAAGCTGATAAATCAAAAGTTACCTTTGCAGTGGTGCTCCCCCTTCTCTGTGTGACCGGTCCCCCTAAGCTTCTTCCCTTAACCGCTCCATTCGTCACAGCCCAGGAACTCTGACATCATCACATACAATGCTGGGCTAGCAGTTGTACACAGCAAGTGACGACAGCGAGCACCATCCCACAATACAGAGGGAAGAAGAAAGCACCAGCTGGCAGGGAGCGAACAATAAGGTAAGTAAAACTGCTTTTAGTGTTTCCCTAGATAAAAATGGGCATTCGGCCCTTGCAGTACAAGGGGAGCTCTACTGTAAGGGTAACTTTGAAATGTCTCCGGAGTACAACTTTTTTGGGAGAGACAAAGTTATCCCAGTATATTCCCCATCTGTAGCAATCTTTAGTTTGGTGCCATCTACCGGTTTCTTTTGTAATTGTGTTTTTGTGTTTGCAATTCATTCATACGTTTATATATAACTGATATTATTAGCTTTCCATTCAGATATTGTATATTTTCTGGGGTTTTTTTAGAATAAAGTTTATTAGTTTCATAAATACATATATCACAGCAATCATAAAAAATGTTTTGTAAAGTTAACTCCACTTTTCAAATGACTCTAAACATATCTAACCATCCCATATATTCACCCTCTTAATGTGCCTATTCCATATTCCATTATGATTACTTCATGAGGCCAACCCTTCCTTAATTAATCATCTTCTGAAGTGTTGGTCACCCCTTCCCCTACTCATTCTTTACTCAAAACAAACAAGTAAACAAAAGGAAAAAAAAGACAAAGCCATAGGTAAGCCCGTCCCTTTTTAAATGTATCACTATAATTCCCTTGCTTATTGTTCACTCTTTTAGTTACATATACAACTGGATCCATGAGGAGGATAACACAAATCCTTCCAAGCACTCCATGCCACTACAAATCATCTAATGTGCAGGCTGTCAATTCATCCATCCGCATCCACATGATCCATTTAAGCTCACTTATCGATTGACTAATCTATGGGACCATAAAAGATCTCAATATCTAGGAATAAGGGTTCTCCCTGTTGAAAGGAAATAACGAAGATTATTCTTTTTGATTACTTTTAGATTGTAAGCCCTCAGGGGCAGGGCCCTCCTTACCATCTTGTCTTGAATTGTATTGTAATTGTAATGTCTTCCTTATATTGTAAAGCGCTGCGCAAACTGTTGGCGCTATAAAAATCCTGTATTATAATAATAGTAATAATTACCCTAATAGAACGGGGAAAAATGGACAGCAATGTCACCTCCGGTTTCTCGTCAGTCACCTCCTGTATCTCCTTACCCAGCACAAAGATAGTACACTAAAAAGGGGTGAATATATGGACAGGACTACGGTATATGTAGCATAGTTTTCTCTTCTCTAATGCTTTATTAAGTTAAGATGCTTGCACAGTAACTCAAAAAGGATGACACTGTGATGCCAGGACATCGTCCAGGACACAGCATTATTGGGACTAAGGTCCAAGATGTGGTACTATATTTGCAAATCCAAGATGGTTGGCATTTAAGCTGGGGAACAGGCATCTAACACACCGGAAAATATATTAGATGCTAAAGATTCTTCATCAGCTGGACATCTTCTAGAAAGCAAAGATTGAAGTCACTGCCTTCCTAACAAGTGTTAGTCCTCTTCTATTACAGGGTGCTTTTTTAATCACTTTAACTAATCTTCTAAAAGTAAGTGAAATCCCCTGTTCTTTACTTACAGGAAAAGAATAATCCATCCACACATTTTAACCCGAAGAATTTCTATGCAACTGTCATATCTTTGTTTGTTGCTGGGACAGAGACAGTGAGCACCACACTGAGACATGGATTCCTGCTTCTGCTTAAACACCCTAACATTACACGTAAGAGACCAGGGAAGAGTATGTCTCTATTTTACATGTGATCTGATAAATTCGTATAAGGATTATTTTAGCTATCAATGAAAACGAATCTAAAGCACCAAACGACCCACAAATGAAGGATATTTTCAGGCAAGGATTACTAGGGGTGCTGTCCCACTTCAGCCAGGGAAGCTGCAACAATATGGGAGAAAAGAAAAGAGAAGGGCGCCCACCCTAGTGTAGATAGTTTTTAATGATGTATAATGAATTAACAAATAAAAACATACTCACAAAAGTGAATCAAGATATAAGCATAATGGGTAAGCCTGGATGACATCTGAAACAAGCTGTTCAGAAACCTGTGTATCAGCCCAGGACTCCTTGCGATTATGTTTTTAATTATCGTTATGTGTAGTTTAAGAGAACCTGTCAACATACAACTAGAAGGAAATATTGTCAACAAAAAGACATGGCACATTTAATGGGATTTATTTATTTCGTTTTGTAGGAGCACAACATACAATGTATTCCTGTGAAGTAAAAACAAAGCCTATGTGACCTATATCAAAAACGCCTAAGTGTGAACCAGGCCTAAGATTGAAGTTGAAGGACATTTAATTGTATTTATTTTTGTATTTATGTATTTGCATTATTTATGTCACTAGTACTTCTCTTAAAACTGCCATTCAGATCACAGGCAATGTGACACATTGTAACAGAAAAAACACTCTAGAAGAGATAAATACTGTAAGTATAATTGGCCATTCATTTCCCAACTGTGATTCTAAGTATACTTTTACCCAGAAGGTAGAATATCATGTAAGACATCTGTTACGTTTTTAGTTTGTTTGTTAGTCGATTGGTGTTATGGCTAATGGTTGGTTTATATTTAATTTCTGACTTTGACTGAGTATCTATGTTAGTTAAGGTACAAGAAGAAATTGACCAAGTGATTGGAAGGTTACGAGTCCCCGAACCACAAGACAGGGAATCTATGCCTTATACTGATGCCGTCATTCATGAAATTCACAGATACGCTGATGTGTTGCCCATGAATCTGGTACATGAGACCTCCAGGAGTACTCAGTTGTGTGGATTTACTATTCCTAAGGTAAATCATTATTTATGACAGAGATAACTTGTTTGCTTTGATTGTATCTAGAGACAGATGTTTTCTATTAATTTTGCATATCGTAGTGAACTCCCGTCAGTTTTCTTCTGTGTCCCATTGATGATATCTTCCTTCACTTCCTGGTAGTTCAAAAGGATTCACCCTACATTCCAAAGTCACATTCACCCTACCTAGTCAGAAGAATAGCATGGGGGAACATCTGCCACCTTGCCACTTTTAATACTTTTTAATGGGGGGCAACTTTTTTTTTTTTTTGGTTAACAAAAATGCATGTAGGTATTAGTCCTAATATAAGCAATAAAGTATCAGGGAACTCTCTCCAGATATCCTTGAGAACATAATTCCATGCCAAACATGAGAATTTCTTTATAGCTTGTAAGGGGGGACCTGACTCTCCTCTGACCTTCTAGTGCTAGATCAGATGATGTGAGGTGACTTTGGAACCTGGAAGGGAAATATAATAAAATAGATGAAAAAAAAGATTTTTTTATCAATGTGGGGTGTTTTTAGTCACATTGTTTCCTTACCAGCAAGCACCCACATTACCACCACTCGTTCTGGGTCCTGGAGTTTCACATTAGCATAGGTCATCATTGTTTTGAGAGGGGGACACCCTTTGTTTCTGGAACCCCTTTGAAAGCACCTCACAATGCTGAAGGGCATGTGGGCTGGTATTAATATAGCAGGGGGGCTGCACACTTGTGTCCCTGGTGTGCCCAGCCATTTTGCTCTGGGAGGGGGGAGCTGGGACTTTTTTTAAGGATTTAAAAAGTCAATATTTGTATAGGCAGTTTGAGTTACCTGGGGGCATTCTGCAACATAGGAGTTATATACTGGTGCCTTAAAATTTGAAATTTGGGGATTTTGCTGTTTGCACCAATAAAGGTTTACTTAAAGTGACATTAAACCCTCAGATTTTTTTTATCATAAACCAATACTGTAATGTGTGCCTTACTGTAATCCATGGTAGTTTCCCTTCTCTTTGCTGCTCTTCCTTTTAAATCCTTATATCTTCTCATGCTGGGGGAGAACTTCCCTTTGCAGCTGAGTGCCTCTTCCTCTAGTGCTGGCTCAGGTTGGGAACCTTCACACAGACACCATGTATTAATTTCAGAGACAAGGCAGTCTGCTGCAAAACAGAAGTTCTGCCCAGCATGAGAACAGATACAGATTTAAAAGGAAGAGCAGCAAAGAGAAGGGAAACAACCATGGATTACAGTAAGGCACACATTACAGTATTGTTTTATGTTAAAAAATCTGAGGGTTTAATGTCACTTTAATAGTGCAATTGTGTTAATGCACAACATGCTAAACCATATGGGGATATCAAGAACAAGAGTCCCTTCTATTTGCTTGTACTGTCACATACTTTGTAGGCCCTTAGGAGTCCCAAAACCCGAAAACTTCAGCTCCTGAACTCAAACTTGGGTCTGCTGTCCTGCCTCCCACCTCACAGGCCTCACTATTGGTTCGAAGCTTGGATTGGCGGCTTAACTGACCAGTTGTGATGCATTAAGGAGGGCAGTAGGCTTACGTTTAACCAGTAGCTGTTGTCAGTGTTTGCATTAGGAACTTAGTTTTAGGTTCTTACTTTTTGCATTCTGGTGGCGTATCTTGTCTGTAAGATTCAAATTGAATCTCACTTAATTTATCCTATACCTTTTATATGTACCATTGTATTAACCTGACCATTCATATCTATTCTTCTGTGCAGGGTACAGATGTATTTGTCCCCCTGTCCTTCGTTCTCCATGATCCAAAGTACTTTCCTGATCCATTTGCTTTTAGGCCGGAGCGGTTCTTAGATGAAAGCGGCAGTTTTAAAAAGAACGAGGCCTTCCTTATATTTTCTGCAGGTACAAGACAATCCACCATTTCAGCAAGCTTCATGTAAATCAAATATGTCAGAATTACAACATCAAGTTAATATTTAGAGTGAAAAGAACTACTTCCTTTTTACCTAAGAATAACTTCCGTCATGCTACCGAGAGCATTGTAGATGTTTTACATCCCTGGGTATAATGTAAAATTTTTAGACAGATAAGCAAACTCTAAATAAATCAGAAATAAGAGAATAAGCAAAGCACAACATCAGTACCACACATCAAAAGTCTATTTATTTAGCTTTGAATATAAAATCCCATATAAAAACAAACTAGCCTGGAGCAAAGTTCATACATACAACGTTTGATCTATGGGTACCTTGTGAAAGTCTTTAATATCTTCTCCTCTTCTTAGGGAAGCGAATGTGCTTAGGAGATGGACTGGCCCGTCATGAAGTGTTCCTCACTATCACTACCCTTCTGCAGAACCTTAATATTACTTCACCTGTAGACCTCAAAGACTTGGACATCACTCCAAAGATGGTTGGGTTTTCCAATTATCCACAACCTTTCAAGATAAGCTTCATTCCACGTTGAGTCTGAGACAATAGAGGCATTTGTGTTATAAAGAAGTCACTCCTGAAATACTGAACCAAGAAAACTAAATATTCATAAAAGTATAAGTATAGCCATTGTTTTAGTTTTGGATAGTGTAGGGAAGGGTTAAAACTGATATCATGTTATTTTTGCTGTTTGTGTCCAGTTGGTGGGATTTTGTTTACTTTCTGTCTAGAAGAAATCTCCAAAATGATAGAGGAATTGCCATCTTAGACAGTTGTCACTGGATCAGGTGTCCACATTAGTAGACTTACCATTACCTCTTGCTCTCATGACAACTCTAAAATGTAGGATTTCCCCCGACTTTCTAACACAGACAGCAATGAAAGCCTGACAGAGGTTTAAACCTTTTCCACTCTATTCAAAAGTTTAAAAAAAGTTTTGCCTACAGTTAATCTTTAAAATGAAGGAGAGTATTAGTTAAATGTACAGAAACTAAAGGATTTTTAACCATTTGGAGCAGTTCTTACATGGGCTTGCTAGTTATATTATTTTTTCTTCTCTTTATTTTATCTTGAAAGAAAAGAAAACAGACAATCATAACATTAATCAAAAGAAAGTAAGATTCTGGAATCTCCAAGAAAGGGAAAGAAATCCTGATGGCATAGCAAGGCAATCCACATGCCGTCCTCACATGGTCGGCGATCCACATGCCGTCCTCCTCCACACACTGACAGGCACAGGACTCTACAATTCACTGAGCGGTTTTTCCAGCCGAGTCCCATTTAGTCCACCTCCTGCAGATACAGCAGGGACACAGACGGACCTTCCGGTTCCCTTTCTCCCTCTGGCTCCAGCCACCTGCTCGTTTGGACGGGCTCTCACTGCCCGACATCCACTCAGCCAAGTCTCTCCTCCTGAACCCCTCGATCTCTACCAGAGACCGTCTTTTCTCCAGCCCTCTGACACAATGTAAGTGACATTTTTCCTCATTAGTACCAAAAACACACACTCAAGTTTTTGCGCCCTTTACATGTTTTTTAGTTGTATTAACCTCAGGTGTCTCCTCCTGGTCTCTAGGGCTGCATAGCACACCATATTTTAAAATTCACCCGAGAGCGCGGTACACTGTTTTTTTCGTCCTGATGGCAATCTGGGCTGGCTGGGCTGAACACAATAAGGCAAAGTTACCGCCAGCTCTCTAATCAGTAATAATAGGCAGCCTGCGAGTGAGCAGCCGCCTAATTAGAGAGCTGTCTCTGCTGCTTTCTGTCCGACCAACTGACAGCACCAGGCCCATGATGCTCTTTATCTGACCCTGCAGAGCGCTTGTGCGGACCAGGCCAGAAAGATTGATGTCTAAACACTGCAGTAGGCTTAATTAGTTTATCATTTGTATGATCTATATTTCTACAAATAAAGTGATTGGAATATTATTGACAAGCGTGACACCTCTTTTTTTATCTTGCTGTATGATTTGGAAACAAAAATAGTCTATACAACAGAGACAGTGAGTTCAGCTTAAATCATTCTATGCTCAGAGATTTATAGGATACAATTCTGATTCATGAGAAACAAAGACTTTAGATCACCTAAAGTGAAAATATTGTCAAAATATTTTGATTCCACACGTATGTGCTTTTTTATCTTAATTACAATTTCTGATAAGAAAATTTTGATTGCACATTAATTAAAAGAGAACTATGGGTTATGTGTTTTTCCCCATAGTTCTGTTTAGGGTCACGGGAGGACATATACTACATCCTCCCGTGACCCAAAGCTCAGTATATAGCAGGCTATTGCCCGCAATATACTAAGAGCACCACAGCCGGGATGGATCCCAACAATACTGTTGAGATCCACCCAGCTGCGTGAGTGACAGCGGGCTCTGCCTATCTAGAGGCAGAGCAAGCCATGCCCGCTCCCTCCCCCGTTCATTCCTCCACTCAGCACTGGAGGATAGGCGAGGGGAGGGAGGAATCCCTGTGGGGAGCGGTGGCTGATAGTCATCACTCACTGCAGGGAGACAATCGGGAAGTGAGCAGATCAGCTGCATGTTTCTGCTCGCTCCCTGATCAATAGAGCCAACCTGTGACAGCTTCTTTGTCACAGGTCGGCTCTAACTATGAGGAAATGGAAATCATTGATCCTCTTTTATGAGGTAAATGTAGACCATTTATTGTATACTATGTCCATATTTGTAAATAATTTTTTCTTATCAACATATATAAGAAATAAGTATCTTCCATCTAAGGGGTTAAACTGAGTTTTGACATCCTTAGTTTAATGTTTAATTTTATGTAAAGCTAAAACCTTTTAGTTTGGACGGGGTAGGGCAGTGTTAAAACCCCTATCAGATTTTTTTGCTATCTGTGTCTCATTGGGTAGATTTCCCTTTGTTTTATCTCTTGTACACCTAACAGGAAGTAAGTAGAAGTCTCTTCAAGGTGAAGAAAATGCCCTCTTAGACATCTGTCACTAAAACAAGTGTCCTCAATTGAAGATTTTCTCACTATTCTTGTTAAAGCTGAACTCCAGGTATAAATATTTATGTAAAATAACATTGGTCCAGCTTGACTTAATGTAAGTATGCAGAGTATTATACCAGGAAGGGCCATGGAGATCCTGTATAACTCTATAGTAGCCTCAGCTACTATCGTGCTTTACAACAATCTTTTGGGTCCGGTATTGCGACTTTTCCCCTGTTGTAAAAACACAGGGGGTTACTTGCTCAGCACAGTGGCCATTCAGCGAATTCCTCGTATTTTTTTATCAATGAGTACAAGCCATCCTCTGATTGGACAAGGGGTAGTGACAACAGACGTTCCATTAATGGCCGCTGTGCTGAGATGTTAGCTATATGGACACTGTGCCAAGCAAACAAGCAACCCTCTGTGTTTCCACAGCAAAGGGGAAGTCCCTGAACACAATGATATTAAAAGACTTGGAAGACCTCTGTAAAGCACTGTACAGAATCCCTATAGCCCTACTAGGCATAAAATATGTACAGTTTATTTACATTGGGCCAAGCTGGACTAGTCTAAGTTATACATGAATATTTATACCTGGAGTTCAGCTTTAAGGTGGCAACTCACCTAGGAATTCAGAATTTAACTCTTCCTCTACCCTATCCAAAACTAAAAAACAAAATTTTCTCTTCTTTCGTGCAAATCAGAAGTGAGGCATCCATTTTTTTTTCACACCAGTTACAAAGGAATTGACGCAACACGTTCACACCAGCACTGCAGTGACTGGGGAGATACTAGTCTTCAAAGGAAAGCGCTGATAAGACAGTGCGGGCCAACAGAAGTTTTAATATAACTGAAGTGCAGATCATTTTTGACTAACCCTCGTATATATACACATTTAAAGCTGGAGTTCAGATTGAAATGCTAATGAAGTTTCAATTGCATGGGCTTTACTGAGCTAGCTTGAAAAAAAGGATTTGAAATGTTTCCATCTGGTTTATGGAGGTTGCAAAGATGCAGAACGTAAAGACAGATGTTAGCAGACATGGAAGACAGAGCTGCCATGCAAGGTCACCATTTAAACCTTGAATACATGCATCCATTAGAACACTAGAGTCCCTGATATAGGTTAAGCAGTCTTTTGGCTAATGGCGGGTATGCCAAGATTGGAACAGTGGGAGTGGCTTGCCAATACAGAGGCAAAAAAGGGATTCCTGATGATACCTGGGCTACAAACGAGCAACTGTTAGAGTACGTTGTGAACAAGTGGGCAGTCATGACAATACATTGCAATAATGAATGACAGTAGTGACAATAAGAATTACATACTCTATAGATTCTGATACATAAACAAATCAGGGGCTCTGTTATGGCATGCACATTAAGTTTAAAGTGAACTCTTCTACATCTGAAAATGTCGTGAATGTAAACCTCTGCTTATTTAGATGTCCCTGCACATGACCAGATCTTGTAACAAAACAATACACAGATACAATTCATGTCAGATCACTCCATGTATTTCTGAAATCTACAAGTCCACAAATTCTACATGGTGCAGTGTGGTATGGCAACATGTAGTGAGAAAGTATGGATGCTGTCAGGCAGCTAGCATTTTCAGAGGGAGGTCATGAAGAGCAGCCTCAATGTTCTATCATACAGAGAAACGCATCAATATCCCTGATCAACTTTATCCACATTTTAATGAAGTATAGGGTTGGGAGACACTAACGTATGTTCAACTTGAAAACCAAACAAGCATCAAATTGAAAGTCAAGGCCATTTCTGCATTATCTATGTTCCTTGTACCCATTTATCAAACTAAAGTACAACTTGCTCAGCCCTTAGTATTTGCTGCAATAGGCAATGCAGACAGGTTTACTGTTGACACTTCTTTACTATTCAACTTGGCAAAATAAAGAGCATTTGGTTATTCTTTCATGCCAGACTTCCAAGTTTTAATTTCACAGCTTCTCGCTGAAAAATCCATGCACCTGCTTAGACCATTTCTCAGATGGGAACCTGAGAATTGCCATGTAATGTCTACACAAGTATTATATACAGGGCCATAACTACAGATCACGGGGGCCCCATAGCAAAGATGCCCCCCCATGACCTCTCTCTAAACTGTGGGTAATTTGCAAAGATACCAATGACTGCTCTTGTGCATCTAAAGTCCTCTCTACACTGCTTTACAGGGGATTAGAGTTGTCGTCAACTGCAACCACTCCTACTCCTGCAACCTAATGGGGCCCTCTCCCACCCCCATGCCCCATAGCAGCTGCCTGGTCTGCTATGGCTATAGTTACGCCACTGATTACATACAACTCACCTTTTATAGAGTTATAAAAGGAGAAAGTGGAAATATCTGGTCACCTTACCTGGCAACTGCACATTTTCATAGTAGCAAGACTGAAATAGCAAAACATCGGGCTAATGCAAATAGCAGATTTGTTTACCTGGCTTGAGCGCTGGTAAGACATATTGATGGGGTGTTCTTTAGTTTATAGCCAAAGACTGCCTAAGAATGACTTTACATTCGAAGCATCAAAATAGTTGCTATCCTATATGATTTAGACACCTGTTAGTTTGCAGAATCATAAAAAAAAATGCATTTGTTAACTTTATAGGAGATGAAC